CAGTCTAACACACTGCGGTCTGATTATCAGCTAGTCTTTGATCGTCAATTATTGATGCTGCCAGCTGAGTCTTCTGACAGTCAAATCGAGCTAAACTGAGTTAGACGCACTGAAATCAAATATCATGATCTTCATAGATGGGTCTGATAAAACAGATGGCTGCATCTTCAACTCTAATTGCATAGTAACAGGCAAACTACTGGGGAGCGGCTCTATAGTAATTGGGGACCGTTGGCTGAGTTTTCTTTGGGACCAAAACAAGTCAGGAAGTCTTCCTCATCGGTGGAACTGACTCCTGGGTGGGGCTAAGGTTGTAGAGATGTTGTAGAGTCGAACATATCTGCTCTGCTCTTCAGGTCTCTGAGGCCGACACCATCAGGACCTGGAGACTTAACTCTCACCCTGTGTGAAGCTCACCAGGGTGAGAATGAGGTTTATCTCTTATCACTGGACTCAAACCTGAACCTTAACCATGTGGGAACTTTGAATGATTGTCCCTTTAATGGCTGGTTGGTCATTAAAATAACTGGCTTTCAAGATTGTGTTAAAATTATAACATTTTATTCTTGATTTATAAAGTTACTGGTCAATAAGTTCACAAAGAAGGTAGAAAGGGGTGAGAGTAAACTCAGTTGAAATATCACCATGTTTGTCTTATGAGTCACAGAAACACACTTCAGAGAAGGTTCCAACTGTTGTTGCCCGACTGTTTCGCCACAAAAGCAATATTAAGTTACAACAGAGAGGGAATTTCCATGGTGACATTATTAGTTTCAGGCCATTTCAATTTCCCTGGATAGATGACATTTTTCTGACGGGAGATTCCAGAATCCTCTTTTCCATTTCCTTAGAGGACATAAATGAAATCTGAGGTGCCTGCCAAAGGTTTATTTATATATTTATTTATAATTACTATATTTAAATGGATTAAGCTAAGTTAAAATAAGAAATTAATTAAATGACAGCTGTGATTTGGCACTGTTATCTCAGAGAAGATAATTCCCAAAGAGTCTTTGGATAAATCTGGCTTTATTGTAGATAATCAACAAAAAACAGCCTGATGCATCTTAAATTACTGCGATGAGGCATGCTGCTTAAATCGAGGAGTTTTCCTCCACTTTTTCCTTTACAGGAACCTGTTCATCCAGTTTCTATCAACAGTTTGAACTTAATTCCCTGTCACTCAACATGTTTCCTTTTTTTTTTTCACATTCGTCATATACAGCATCTCAGGCTACCGTAGAGAACCAGGATTTTTCCTTACAGCAATCTGTCAGAATTTCTCAAGACTTAATCCTGATTGCATGACTGACTATGTTAAAGCTAAACTTGATCAAATGGGTGTCTGTATGTGTTTGTTTTTTTAACACTCTACTCAGCAGGTGATTGCAGTTGTAGGTGGACGTTGTTAAATGAATAGAAAATAGAGTCAAGACATTGACAAGGTTAGAAATAATGATTTGTATGTGAAATAAAAACTTTTTTCCATCAAACTCTGCTTTGGTCAAAGAATCCTCCATTTGCAGCAATTCCAGCTTTGCAGACCTTTGGCATTCTAGCTGTTAATTTGTTGAGGTAATCTGGAGAAATTGCCCCCCACGCTTCCAGAAGCTCCTCCCACCAGTTGGATTGGTTGGATGGGCACTTCCTGCGTTCCATACGGTCAAGCTCCTCCCACAACAGCTCAATGGGGTTCAGATCTGGTGACTGCGCTGGCCACTCCATTACCCATAGAATACCAGCTGCACAATTTGGAGGTGTGTGTAGGGTCATTGTCCTGTTGTAGGATGAAATTGGCTCCAATCAAGCGCTGTCCACTGGGTTGCAAAATGGAGTGATAGCCTTCCTTATTCAGAATC